CGTTTTGCGACCATGAGGCTCTCAAGAGATACATGTCGGGGGCGCCAAACGGCAATTCTAGCTGAGACGTCCCACCAAAATCGGCGCGAACGGGCTCGTGAGATCAGCCAGGGTGGCTCCCCCTTGGGGCTCCCAAATGATGCCCCTGGCAGCGTTTTGCGACCATGAGGCTCTCAAGAGATACATGTTGGGGGCGCCAAACGGCAATTCTAGCTGAGACGTCCCACCAAAATCGGCGCGAACGGGCTCGTGAGATCAGCCAGGGTGGCTCCCCCTTGGGGCTCCCAAATGATGCCCCTGGCAGCGTTTTGTGACCATGAGGCTCTCAAGAGATACATGTTGGGGGCGCCAAACGGCAATTCTAGCTGAGACGTCCCACCAAAATCGGCGCGAACGGGCTCGTGAGATCAGCCAGGGTGGCTCCCCCTTGGGGCTCCCAAATGATGCCCCTGGCAGCGTTTTGTGATCATGAGAGAGTGCGAGTGTGAGCTTAACTTATCTTATATTATCTTGAAATCTCTTCTTATCATATCTTGTGCTATCTTATCTTATATTGTCGTAGATTATCTTGTCTTGTCTTGTCTTATATGGTGATTATCATTGGGAGGTCTTATCTTGTCTTGTCTTATCTGGTGATTATCATTGGGAGGAGGGAGGCGCGAGCGGGAGGAAGAAGGAGGAGGAGGAGTGGGAGGCGTCAGAGTAATAACAAGAACCCCAATCCGTAGGATATGGGGAACAACAACAAAAAACTGCGTAAATATAATCTTGTGGCGCCCCGCGCGGATTTCTTGGATCTGCGCTGAGCGGCGCCGGAGGCGCCGCCGGTGAATCCCAGCGGGGATCCAAGAAACATGCGCGGAGCGCCAGAAGTTTACGCTTCTGCCGCTGTTTCTCCTTCGAGCTCCATCCCCCCGCGTGACAGCCTCCCACCGCGTGTCTGCGCACGTCCCCTCCTCGTCACCACGGGCGCTGGCCCGCCCGCAGACCGCCACCCTCACCGCCCGCAGGCGCGCTCTTCGCCGGCCTTCCGAGTGCCCCCGCTGCTCTCTCCGACGCCCCCGTCGTTGCGCTGCAACGTCTCACGTCTCCGCTTGCGACTCAACTGGGGAAACGAGCTCTATATATACAGCGACGCTGTGTCCGCTTGCAAACTCAACTGGGGAGACGAGCTCTATACACCGGCGCTGTGTCCGGCCCTGTACTGAAACTTGCAGCCAGGAGAGCGGATCCTGGTGTATACGGGATCCTCGTGTATATATGTTTTGCTGTCTCCCCGGGGAAACGGGGGAAAAATATGCACCACACCACCCCGCTGGCACGGGGAGGGCCTCATCGCAGGCGCCGCGAGGAACGCGGAGTACGCCACTGCGGCACGGCGGACTTTCAGCGGCAGATCCCCCCACTGGTAAGCTATTCTGGGGAGGTTAGGGGTGTGGGTACGGGGATGGGTGATGAGGGGTGGACGTTGCAGGGCCCCTGGGAAGAGCGCGTTGCGGTCTCCCCCGCCCCCCCTCGCCCATCATCTCGTCTCTATCTCCTTTTGCTTCTCTTTCATGTTTGTGTGAAGGCCGAACCCCAGATAGCGCAACCACTTCGCCTACATCGTGTCTTGGCTCGGGGGCACGATAAGGGCGCGCCTGTTCAGGCGCGAGAACAGTGCCCGACCACCCCTCCAGCACGGGTTGAGACTACCCGTCCAGGTCCGGTCATCTCGGAGACTCTGGCCCCGGGGTGCTCCGGGCGCCTGCGAGGTCGAATTCGTAAGCCACATCGTTCTTCTCGTAAACAGACGGTGGGGAGAATACGCATGAGCACTATTAATTGCCAGGGTTCGAACTGGCGCCTCATGAGCCATGGGCCGAAGTTGCGCCAGGTGCTCTTGGATGCTCGGCGTTTTGGGTGGGAAGTTTCCTGTTTGACCGAGTTGCATGGTGAAGCGTGTGATTGGGAAGTGCAGCAGCCCAGCGTCCAGATGGTTTGCCTCGAAGAGTTTTTGTTTGTTCAGTGGCATCATGTTGGTTTTCTCCTCTCTTCTCCTTGGAAGAAAATGTGGCTGGACCAGGGGTGTCGTATCCGGGTGGGTTCTCATCGCTCTCTCTGCCTCCTCATCACTTACCAGGATCGCGAGATTGCCTTTGCTTCCTCTTATGCCCCCCCAAGTAGCACGCATGACAGGGATGCTCGCTCTCTCTTCTTCGAGGAGGCTACTGCTTTCTCGTATTCCCTGACAGAGGCTGCTGATGTCGTGCTTTGGGGAGGGGATTGGAATGGGCACATCTCCGGCACGGATTGCGAGGGCGGCCGGGGGCTCCCACAGGCCACGACGGATGGCGGTAGGGAGCTCTTGCGCTGGCAAGCTGGTGTCGAACGCTTCGCTCGGTTAGACGGGTTCTTGCGTTGCTCCTTCCGGGGTACGTGGAGGCACAGTGTGAATCATCGTTGGTACGAGCTCGATGGGTTTTATGTTCTTCGGGGCCATACGGGGTGGGCTCAGCGA